ACTATTAAGTATTGTTCTTTATTAATTTTGTAAAAGTTTTTACAATTATTTAAAAAACCAATTGAATTCAGAATTATTTCATCATTACTGTTTAAAAAAAAGATAATTTATTAATAACAAAATTATTATTTATAAACCAATAATTTTGGAGGAATATATTTGAATTATTAAAAAATAATAAGTAGTTTTATAATTATAATTATAATTTATTATGTTATGTAAATAAAGTAATGAAGATTAATTTTTGGGTTCAAAAAATTTCAATCAAAACTTGTAAAAAGAAAAAATTGTTTTAATTGGTGTATATTTTAACTTTTCTATTTAATTATAATAAGCTATAACGGATTCGTTATCTAAAATTATATTTAAATATAAATAAATTATTTTTATTTGATTAATTTTTAAACATAGTTTAAATAATGGTTTTCATTCATTATTATAAGATATTATTTAAAATTATTAATTAAAAATCAAAATATTTATTTATAAAATATTAAACCATGCTTCATTACTAATATATTTATAATTAATTATATAACTATATATTATAAAATTTATAATTTGAAAAACAATTAGTTTATTTAAAAGAAAAATAATAAATAAAATCAAATATATTGCTATTTCAAACTTATTTTAAGTCGAGGGTCTAATTATTTAAAAGACTTTTCATTTTTATTTTTTTATACCCCAACCCATTTTCTAAATTTGAAAAACCAAATAAAAATTTGGTATTTTTTCGTGTTTTTTAATTTAACAAAAACGTTTTTTATTAATTATTCTTATTTTCATTATAAAAATAAATAATATTATAGTCGGGGGATAAATAGCATTAAAAAGGGACAAAGGTAGTTAATTTTGATAAATATAATTTTGAAACTATAATTTTTAAAAAATCTATTTAAAGGTCAAAATAAACATAAAATTAAAATAATAATATAAATTATCGTTTTTTATTTTAAATGATTATAAATTGAATAATTGTAAATTTGTATTTCAAAAATAAACAATAACACCTCAATTTGTTCACTTAAAAAATGTGGAAGTCTAAAACGCAGCACTTTTTATGGTTTGTCTGAAACTTGTTTTGTTAAAGAATTTTTCCTTTGTTTTTTCCTTTGTTTCATTTCTTTTCTGCTCTTCTTCAACTCCAATTGTTTTAATGTTAAAATGGTCTTTCTCTTATCTTTTCTCAATGGGAATGGTTCAACAACGAAAGATTGAAAGATTGAAAGATTGAAATAACAAATGATGATTTTTCAGTGATTCCCTGACACTTTCAAAAATTGACACTGTTGTTAATTCATTAAACTCTGGCATTTTAACCATATACATCGTGAATATATATTGAAATACAGTTTTTAAACTGGTTTCTTGTATTTAAATTGCTTTTTTATGTTGATTGCCTGTGGTTGTTTCATCAAGGGTTCCTTTCTCTTCTTCTTCCATTGTTTTCAAAGATTGAATAATATCAAAAATAAAAAGTTATGGTTTTCTTTTATTATTTTCAAAGTAGTTAATTGAAAAAACCCTTCTAATACTTTTATGGTTAAATAAATTATATTTTATAGTTTTTTACTCAAATTAACTACTTCTGTCCCAAATTAACCCCCTTTATCACCCGACTATACCAAAAAATTATTAATAAATTAATTGTTTTTAAGAAAATAAATAACATTCGAATTTTTAATTATTTTTTATTAATAATTATTAAAAACAAATACAACGGGACCAACACTGACCACCACCACCACCTCTTAAAATAGATTTATTTTTTCTATTTCGAATCATATTCAAATTAAAATTATAGTAAATAGGTAACTGGGATAATATTAGGTCTGGTTCCCGAATTCAAGAAATGCCGAAAATTCACCTTGATTCAGTGGAAACCGAGAAAGACGGAGCATTGAAAAGAAGGCTCATAAAGACGCACTCAAACAGTCTGTTTGTGCACCGTTTCACCCACTTTCCAAGTCCTCCCTTGGCGCGGATCCCCCCCTGACCCCCCCGCAAGCGGGGGGGGGGGAACCACATCCGCGTCCACACAGTACGGACAAGGAAAGTGGGTGATATGGACGCACAAACAGTGGCTGAAAAGTGGACTTCCTTCAAAAAACACTCGCGGCAAATATTTTTTTTTGGTAAAGGTGGTGGTGGTGGTCAATGTAGGTCCCAAATACAACAAATAATATTTTTGAAAAAATAAACTGTACCATTATTGAATTATAGATATATTATTATTTTAACCATTTCACAATTATAATTTATAACAATTTAATAGTAAGAATTATTAAATTTATTTATTTAGTTTAATGCAAAAAAGAGAACAATAAAAAATACATGGCAGACACCAAATTGGAGGAGTTACAAAATGCGATCACACAACAAGAGTTGGACATTTCCGACTTAAATGAATTGCTCAAAGAAGACCCCGAGAACAACGAATTGGTAGCAATGAAGAAAGAAGCGGAGTCGACGCTGTCTTCACTGAAGGCGAATTACGACACATATCGTTTGACTATTTTACCTGAGGAAAACAAACTAACGAGTGACAGGCCCAAACAGGAGACTATCATATACAAACGTGGAGAACACGTCTTGGCACAAAACAGTCACGACAACGCTTGGTATGCTGCGGAGATAGTCGAATCCCTTAACCTCAAGTGTTGGGTTAAGTTTGGCCCAAGACACAATCAACTTCTTCCGATTGACAAAATCAAACCATTCACGCCAGGGACCGTTCCATTAGCTACAGTACAAGTCCAATTTAAACACAAAAAGTTGCCAACGGAAAAGGTCAGTGAACTTCCCGCCTGGACTAAACCTAAACCTTCAGACTCACAAAAGGAAATTCTTTTGAAAAAGAAGAAACGCCATCAACTCAAATCCGTCATGAAGTTTGTTTTTAAAGACAAGAAACGGACAAAAGAATTTACAAATAGACAACAGAGAGAAGAGGAAGATTTAACTCTGAAAAAGAACAACTGGAAAAATTTTGCAAAAAATTTTAAGAAGTGAACTAAGAAATGAATGTTTGACTCTTTTTTATATTCGTCGATTCGCTTTTAATACTTTGAACAGTTCACAACAAGAGGATCAAATAACTTTCAATACAACGAATCACTATCACACCCTTATAATATATATAATATATTATATATTATATGTAATGAGTGTGTCGACCAATCTATTCGAGTGATCACAAGTTGTAAATTGATACATTTTCTATAGAAAAGTGAATAGTAATATATAACTCTTATATAACTCACCCCAATAAACATATGGTTGAAATCAATAAATTTACTGCGAATTTACACTTCCAAACTTGTTGTTCCAGTCGACATAGAGAAGTAAGTCGTCTTGGGATACGGACGGTCTGATGGACTTCAAACTCTCAAGAAAATCCTTGACCTCCACTGGACGCACCTCAGAAGTCTTGACGTCGATGATGTTCAAGTTGTTTGAATTTAACTCTCGAATCGGTCCAAACGCAGCATCCCTCACTAACTCCTTCATGTCACTTCCTGAGTACCCGTCTGTCAAATTGCCGATTTTACTGATCTCCTCATCTGTCATCTTGTTGTTCACTTTCTTCAATAATGTCTTTACAAGCACATTTCGTGCCTCTAAATCAGGTAAGGGAATATACAACCGCTTCACTAACCGCCGACGCGCTGCTTCATCGATTTCTTGTGGCCGATTTGTGGCGCCGACGACCAAAATCCTCTCGTCCGTTGTTGTCCCCGCTCCATCAAGTCGGACAAGAAACTCAGTCTTCAGTCTCCGCGACGACTCGTGCTCAGTCTCACTTCTTGCTGAGAGCAATGAGTCGATTTCGTCAATGAATATCACAGAACGGACATAACATGAAGCCACTGCAAATAGTGCCCTCACCATCTTCTCACCTTCGCCAATCCATTTACTAGTTAACGCAGAGGCACTGATGTTGAAGAAAGTAGCGTCGGATTCAGACGCGACTGCTTTCCCAATCAGCGTCTTTCCTGTCCCCGGCGGACCAAAGAGTAAAATTCCTTTTGGTGGTGCGCGTAATCCTGTGAAGATATCTGGACGAAGCATTGGCCAGATAACCGCCTCTTGAACAATCTTCTTTGCTTGGGTTAAACCAGCTATGTCGTCCCAAGTCACTTTTGGTGATGAGTCGAGAATTTCATGAACAATTCGGGTGAGCAAGAGGGGATCACTGTTAACGAGTCGTGGATCGTCAAGGGGAACACCATTGACGTCACTTATGATATCCTCCTCCCCACTCTTTTTCTCTTTTGGTAAAGGCTTCTGTTTTTGGTCTTTCTCATCTTTGTCGTCTTTCTTGTACGGTGGCTGGAACTTCCTTTTTGGCTTAATCCCTTTCTTCAGGTTGTCTGCTGTTAACTTGTCGGACGCAGTCACAAATGCTGGAATGTCGGTACTCTTCGGAACCTCTTCGTCGATAACCACTTTACGAGAAACAGGCGGATTGACGGAAACAGGTTCCCGCTTTTGAAGTAAAGGTCTCTGAACCTCTTTAGTATCCTCTTTCTTCGGAACGGAAAATAACGCCGCACCACATGTTGCAGCCTTTACGTACTCTGGATCACGAAGCAGAGTCGAAATGTCATAGGGCTTCACGCACTGAAGGAAGGATGAGTGGAGGAAGGAAATATACTCTCTTTTATGAGGATCTTTTGACGAATCAACCTGGTCGAGGAGGCTGGCAAACTGTACATCTGTGATGTTTTCTGAAACGACTAAATTGTGGAAAAGTGACATAACAGGAGGACTTTGCGTCATTACGTTTTGGTTATCGAGTTGTCTATAATTGAGGAAAGAGAATGTATTAATAGAATTATATAATAGTTTAAGTATACTATATAAAAATTACCTTAAAGAAATAATAATAATAATAATATAATAATATAATAATAAATATTATTAAATAATAATAATACTAATTAATAATAATAACACAAAATGAATTACAGTTGAATTGTTTGGTAGTATAGAGGGAACTGGAGCTTAAAGTAGTCCAAATAATATTGTTGTTGTTGAAGCATATCTCTTGAGCTCGGGTATTTTGCTTTCAATAAATCGATAAGAGACAATTTGAGAGTGGTATATGGTTGTGTCAAGTCGGACTGGTTTTGGGTGTTTGCGTAGAGTGTCGTGAATGTGTCCAAATTATTTAAATAGGCGTTTTGAAGGAGAGCCATCTTCTCGTCGAGCTTTTTCCACCGAAGAACTTCAAGAGGGAAATGATTTTGCGAGTAGTCACAACTGCCCGTATTATTTTCTTGTGATGAACAGGCTCTGTGGATGTCTTGGAGGTTCTTCTGTGACTTTTCATAGTCAAAGGTATTAAACGCACGATTCAAGACGTGTGCGTGGATGAAAACTTTATGTAACTCGACAGCTTCATCGTCAATAGCCTTAATCTCGGGGACTATGTCGTCGTACTTTTTGTCGAAAAACTTTGACTCAAATTTGTTGACTCGTTCAATTAGCTCTTTATACCTCTCCAGATATTTCCAAGCTTTGTCCTGTTCAAAATAAATCTCTTCCTTCGAAAGGTGGCAGTTCCCATCACAGTGTTCACTTTCAGAAGACGACGTTTGACTCGGGTAGTGTACACGCGGAGTCAATGGTTTGTTGCCCATTGAAATTGAGAGTTTGTTAGCTATTTTAATTTATTCTTTTTTTCTGGTCATCGTTTGTCATGATTGTTAGCTATTTGATAGTATATGTATAAGTCGAATTAAGTCTTTTTCATAACACTTTTTCAAGCTTTTTCAATCAAGATGGAAATATTTAGTCGATTGTCCCATTTTGTATAATTTATTGAATTATAAAGTACTATATCTTGTCTAACTAAAGAGTTTGAAAACCGCTACAAAAAAACTATTTTTAGTTTTTATTGGACTTTTCGTTTAACAATATCGTTTTTATTTTTTTTCTTTACAATAAGTTGTTTTTTAGCATATTTGTATCACTACATTCAATTATTTGTTACTCGAATTAATAACAGTAATAATAGATTAGTCTCAAATGATTGATTTGTATATATGCCGTTTTACTGTAAAAATTAAGGCGATTAGTCTGTTATAACAAGTTCAGTATTGATTAGTATTAAAACTAAAAGTATTAAAACCCAAAAAATTACATTTTTATATATTTATTCTATCAAAAAATGTTAAACAATGAAAAAAAGAATTTTGTTTTGTTTTGAATGAAATTAAAAATTTAATACCAATACAAAAGAACTCTTCAAAAAGAAACGTTGTTATTAACACTTTAAATAACAATGAACAAAATTCAAGTGGTCTAAAAATCGGGAAATCTCGAGTTAATTATATAAATTTCCATTTTTTAGAGATTGTATTATGTGCATAAACAATATACAAGCCAAAAAAGGAAAATCATTAAAAAATGGATTAATATCCCTGAAAAAACAGGCCAAAACAAAAACAAGGGCGTTCTTTTAAGTGTTAAATTGAAAAAATGCTCAACTGTCTTGTTCTAATTGTTGGCAAAAGAATTCTTTAGTTAAAAAAATGATAAAGAATGAATATAAATTAGATTATTTGATCAACAATAAAAAAATACAATTTGAATAGACTTTGTAAAACTCAAAGAATTTTATTCCAAACAGTTTTCAATAAAATGAAATATTAAGAAATTGTTAATAATAGTTAAATATTTATATTCATCTTTCACCTTAATATGTTTAATATATAATAATGTATGATTTTATGACATTGAATATATTTGAACAATGTTGACACCAAATGCCATGCCTTTGTGATTCTTATTTCATATACTTTTTGTCAATATATCACTTTGCCAACCGTTTTTATTATTATAACAACATTATTATCAATTATAATTAATTATTTTGTTTTGACAAGACAAAATAAATCAACTTTTTGCTAAACATTTAAATTTTTATGTTGGGATTAATCTTTTAAAATTTTGGTAATAGAAAACATTATTATATCTGTTTTAAAAAACTACTTTGAAATAATGATGATATTGTATCGAAAAAATATTTCACAATATTCTCAAAAGACTTTAATATTGTGCATTTTGAAATGACTTGGTTGTAGATTCGAAATTGGCATATTATACAATTTGTTTATCTCCATTGTTACGATTTTTCAACAACATATTTTTAATATTGACTGTTTTTTTTATTTTACGGTTTTAAATTAAAAAACAAAATTTTAAAAATCTTGTTATATAGATGTGGGTATAAGAGTTAGCCTATTAAAAAATTGTTGATAAAGAAACCAGAAAATAGTAGTCATTATTTCTATAGTTCACTTTTTTCTCTTTTTGTTTTGAGAGAAAAGTTATTCCTGGCATACCCCAGAAAAATAGTTAAGTTCTGATACTCTATACAAAAAGTCCTGGCTCTGCTTTTTACCTGAGAACTACTATATGCCAGGTCTATGTCGATCAACAATTTTCACCGCCTTTGTACTCTTGCGACAGAAAATGCCCTTCAGAAAAACAGACTAACTCAGCAAGTCAAAAAGACATTTATCAACTCAAAAGGGCGGTTGTGTATAATTGACCTTACTGAAGAGAGTGAACCTAAAAACCCTCAAAAATTTCAGCAACCTGTCCATCAAAAAAATCCAGTAAAAATTGGGACAAGGCTTGAACCAGTACCAACAAAAACAATAGAACCACAAACAACTGAGGTATCAAAATACGTCTTAGAAGCATATAAAGACGACTTGAGCCTTTTTCAACAGACGTTTGGAAACTTTCCGTTTGAGACGAACACGATTAAAGGAGAGCTTCGTGTTTTTCTCAAAACATACTGCAACACCTTTTCTGATGGATTCATCAACGTGTTCAGTGGGGTCTTTCTGGACAACTTGGTGAAGAAGGGACGGTGTGTGGAGTGCTGGGCAGACGAGTTAAAAATGAACTTGACACATCAAGTTCTCCTCACCGTCGCAAATTTGTTTTTGAAGTATCTTGAACCTCGGTTCAAACCTTTTGTTGATGGGATTTACTTAGTGGATTACTCTCGAGAATTTATAAAAGCAATCAATACAAAGGGCTTCAATGCCCACGCGTTTGTGAGGAAGTTACCATATATGGCAGAGTGGTCTGTGGTGTGCGACTTCACACTCCTCAAAATATTGGCGACGTGTGGCATCGACTTAAAATTGATAATGGAAAACAAGGTCATTGGATATCAACTCTTTACATTACAACTCACTAAAACACAGCAAATATCCTTTATCGTAAATCGAATTTCAGAGTTAAAGGTTGCTTTGTGTGAGTAGCTTTTGTGTTCTTTAAAATGATTTGTTGTTTAAATTCGTTTTTTATAAAGCATTTTACAGAAGTGCCACAAAAGTTGTGCATTCTGAGCAATATGAAAACAAGTCTCTGCCCAGTCACCTACTCAGATATTCGCGACAATAAAACTATTAAAAGAATGACAGTAAAGGTGCAAATTAAAGCGAAATTATGTCACAATTTAAAGTAATGTGACATAATATCACTTCTAGTTTTTAAAACTAGTTCTTTGAGACAATTTACTAAATGGACTTGTAATAGTAATTTGTTTGTGTATTTGTCTACTTGATAAGAATGTTAATACTTTGTTAATAAGTAGTTATAATTTTGATAAAAAAATAATTAAAAAAAACTATTTAAAAACAGAAAACATTTCTCAAAAGTGAAACATTTTAAGTATTTCCATTGGTTTGTAAGTTCGAACTAGTAGCATCGAATTGGCCAAAACATCGGGCAAATGGGTTAAATCGGAGAAAAAAAGACGATTTGATAAAAACAAAACCTAATAATGATAGTAAAAAGAACCATTATTATACAATGTTTTATTTTGGCGACTCTTCAAAAGCCGTTTTGCTAGATGGTGAAATAGTATAAGCAAAACAAGCTATAATAAACCATATAAACCGATTGAACTATAAACAATTAAAATATGAATTAAAGAAATGCCGAAAACAAAAATAGAGAACGACGAGATAGAAAAAGGCTGGAATAACCCTGAAAATAAATGGCAAAAATAAGTAAACTCAACGTCGAAAGGATATAAAAGTCAAGAGGAAACTTGAATTTCAATTGAGAGATGAATACAGTGATGGAAACCGACGAGAAATGCCCTGCAACGTTTTTGCAGGACTATGTGATCTGTGTTAGCGGATACTCCAACGAAGAACGGATACTGTTGAGGAATATGATTGAGTTTTGTGGCGGATGTTATAACGAAGACATGGAGAGTCGCTCAGTGACTTACTTGTTATCTAAGAACCCAGCTAGTGATAAAACAAAACACGCGATGAGGTGGGGTGTTCCAGTCTTGACACACCAATGGCTCTTCGATTGCATGTCAGAGCGACGGCTCCTCTCAATCAACCCGTATCTGATCAATGCACGGAAATAATGTAAACTACTTCACTGTAATTGATATGACTTGTTCTCTCTTTGTTGTCTTGTTAATTCACTTTTTTGACTTCGATTTTTCTCTTTTTTTCTTCCTCTCAAGCCGTTTCTTACCCTCCTTTGATTTTTGGTGCGTGGAATTATAAACAGGATATCATTCAAGTATACTAAAAGTATTATTAATATACTTTTGGTATCCCACAGTTTCACAATTCATACGCTTTTTTTTAGGTGTAAAAAACTGAGTGGTGGTTTTTCCTCCATTTTGTGTTCTTGTTCTTTTAATTGAACATTAATAGTAAAAAAAGGGGTGTGAAATAATAACTTGAGATGGGTGGGTGTAAAAATCACATTTTGACCGAGTGTTTTGTGGCTGAGGAGATATCGCAAAATAAGGAAAGAGGGAAATCTCGATCGAAACAAAAGTGAGTCGCTTACACCTATTTGACTAACAACACAAATTGCAGAGAACAAAAATAGACGAAGACGCACATACACTTTATGTAATAATCAACATGATACAGGATTCTACAAGAAGTTGCAAAAAACACATCAACCTCATGAAAAAAACATCAAAGAAACACAAGAAAACACAAAACTCGTTGGACCAACGAACACTTTGGCGAGTCATGACAGAGCACTATTAAACTAGACAATTTGATCAAAATAACACTTTAAAATTTTCTTAGAATTTATGGTATTAAAAAACTATATTTAATTAATAGTTACTCATTTATATATTTAGAATAATTTTATTAATAGGAAAGTGCCTTCATCAAATGAGTTCGGAATTTTTCAATTGAATTTACATCATATGTATCCGACAATAACACCTAAAAACAACGGAAATAACCCAAATAAAAAAGACTCCAATAACCCGAAATAGACTCCAATCACGTCCAAATAAAGAAGTCTTTATTAAGAATAAACTGAACAATTCCCAAACAATCGGGAAGAGACGAAGATGGGTCCGGGTTATTTGGGAAAAAACACTAAAAAGTCCCGCTATTTTGGTATTGAGAGACGTTTCCAGAAATAGAAGTGGCGATAAAGGAAAACATAGAAAACACATATAAAAGTCAAGAAAAAAACTAGAAAAACACAAGAAGATGAGCATTGCGATGGAAACCGACGAAAAGAGCCCAGCTACTTTTCTACAGAACTATGTAATCTGTGTCAGCGGATACTCTGTCGATGAGAGACTCCTCCTCAAGAAGATGATCGACTTCTGTGGCGGATATTATATGGAAGACATGGAGAGCAGCTCAGTGACTTACTTGTTATCTAAGAACCCAGCTAGTGATAAAACAAAACACGCGATGAGGTGGGGTGTTCCAGTCTTGACACACCAATGGCTCTTCGATTGCATGTATGAAAGGAGGCTGTTGTCCATTTGCCCATATCTGATCAATGCACGGAAATAATGTAAACTACTTCACTGTAATTGATGTGTTATGTTCATCTCCTTATTTTTTATTGGTCTATCTCTTTTTTTCGCCTTTACTCGAACTTCTGTTGTGATTCTTTTTCTAATGATGTAAAAGAATGTAAACAAAGTTAAACCATTCTTTATAGTAAACAACTATATCTCCACCAAATAATTCTATTGTGGTTTTTTGATAGTGTAATTGATACGGAATGAGAGTATCAAATCGTTTGAGTGTTAATTTAAATGGAAAAACATCAATTCAAAAAGCTCCAAAGTTGGTTATAAACATAAATGTAATGTATGATATAAACAAATAGAAATATTTCATGCTGCGTATCAAACTCATAACAAGAAAAATAAAGAACAAGTGAGTAAGAACAGATCAAACTAGCCTTACCATTTCAACAGCGGGAATTCCGTTGAATTCACACCTCTCCCCAGTCAGTTCAAAGCCCACCTTGAGGTACATGGTGTGAATGTCCTCAAGCGCAGAAAGGGTCACCACACCACCTCCAAAGTTTTCGTGAATTTTCTCGCAGGTGTGAGTGATGAGTTGTTGTCCTTTTCCCTGCTTTCTGTAGTTTTTGTGGACAAGGACACGCGCGATTCTGAAGAGCTTTGGTTCTTCCTCAATCACTCTGCAGTAGCACACAATCCCATTCTCGTCCCAAGCAAAGGAGTGGTAACACGTCTCGTCTACTTCGTCCATTGGTGGGTGACCAAGATCTTTTTCACCTTTCTCACAAAAGACGTCCTTTCGAATTGCATAGATCTGTCTCAGTTCGTCTCCAGTTAATTGCTCGAGCTGCTTGAAGTGCCACTGCATTTTCCTTTCGAGGTCTAACACATTTTTTCGCCTTAAATATATCCATGTTCCGTTTTGTTCAATCTCCTCTCTCTCTTTTCTGCAAAACCGAAATGCCTTTTTAAGTTTGCTTATCGTTTTTGTTTAAAAAATGATGAAATTAATCAAAAATGGAATTGGACCCTCGTATATTGGTTTATACAAACAAAATGGAAGTTTTATTCTTATTTTTTCTAAATAATAAATACAAGCATTTAAAACCCGATAATAATTATCGGGTCAACAACATCATTTTAGTCCAAATATTAATTCATAACTTTGTTATTTGTATCAATAAAAATGCTTTTTCGTCGCATTTCTCTTTTTAATTTTTTTCATTTTATTAAAAAAAGAATCAACTTTTATTATTTTTAAATTATAATTATAATAACAGTTTTCACTTTAAATACCAGGTGATAAATATGTTTTCAATAGTACATAATAATATAGAGACACTCATCACAATGAATAAAAATTATATGTATTTAAAAAGTTGTTTACATGACACATGAATTAAATATTTAACACTTTTTTGTTGTTCTGGTGTTTATTTACACAACTTTATTACTGGTCAATATTAAAAATTGACTATAATTTGATATAAAGTTGTTATTGTCTTGATGTACATGTTACAATCTATCGCCGATACGTGTTGTTAATCCATTTTTAAATATTTTTTTTATAAAATGCTTGTAACTTACATTACATATACACATCAACTTATTTTAAACATTCATTCTAATTTACATAATGTGTGTTTTTTGTACAAAATCATTTATCATATATTGTTTGGCTTGTTAAACCAAACACAATCCGTTTGTATTATAGACTCGGTATCTTAGTCTGCACGCAAAAATAACATTCAACAACTTCTTTATATCTTTGGTGTTGTCTTTCTAAAATTTTTGTGTTTGTTCTACAATTGTTTTTGTTTATTATCGATTTGATATACTGTCTAACATATTTTATTAATTATTTATCAAGACCTCTATTATTTTCAACTGTTAATGTTTTTATGTTTTTATCACACCTTATCGAAATATGATATATATGTTAAACGTATAACACATTAAAGTATATAAAAGTTTTCGTTATAATACCATTACTTCTAATACCTTTTTATTTCTTATTAGTATTTTAAATCTCATTTAAATAACAAATACTTTTTTCTAATTTTTAACTATTTTATTATTTAACCTCTTTTTTTAATTTCAAAAACTTGTTTGTCTGTCTGTTTGTTTATACAATTACTATTTAAAACAATAATTAATTCATCAAAAAAAGAGGTAATTTATTTAAAATTTTATCTTTTCTTAACACTTTAAATAACATTGAACAAAATTCAAGTGGTCTAAAAATCGGGAAATTTCGAGTTTATTAAATAAATTTCCGTTTTTTAGAGTTTATATTATGTGCATAACATTACACAAGCCAAAAAAGGAAAATCATCAAAAATTTGATTAATATCCCTGGAAAAACAGGCCAAAACAAAAACAATGGCGTTATTTTAAGTGTTAAGGAACTAAACTTGAATAAAACGATAGTTAGTAAAAATTAACTATCGTTCGTATTGAAAAATCATCACAATTTATTATTAAGATTAGTAAAAACAATTATATTTATAGTATATTGCTTATTAATAAAATACTATTAAGAAGCGCAAGAATAACGTACAACTGAAATAAATAAATAAATAAATATATGCGTTAGACAAACATATATATGTAGATACAAAAAAAGTGTGTTAAAACAATATTTTTATTAATAAAAAAATCAATTACTATATTATATTACGAAAACGAAGAATGTCAAATTTCAATAATAATGATAATACTTAAAATAATTAATTTTAATTTATTTGATTTGATTGAGAGTCCAACAACATTTAAAGTTATTATTAATCAATTCCACAATTCAAGAAGTTGAAAGAAACAGATTATAAATTTTGATTATTGCAATTGTGATTTAAAAGTTGGAATGACTTTCTATTTCAAGTATTCATACTAACTCAGAACTCCATTAATTATTGAATCAATGGAAATCATTTTTTATTATAACTTTTAAATATTCAATTATAATAATAATACATACATCATTTATATTGATGAATTATGTAAATTTACAACACACAATGATTGTATTTTTAATTAAATTGAAACGCAATTAAATATTTTAATAGACAACTTAGATGTTTATAGTTTTTATACACCTCAAAAGAAATTATTAATTAATAATATAAGTATAGTAATAAAATGGTAATAACACAAATAGTTCAAAAGAATAGAAAGAGAACGACAACACAGTTAGCAACACCCAGAACTCTCCTGTGCAGGTGCTTTAGTCAAGTCTGCATTTCCGACGTGTGTGTCTGTGATATCTCCAATCCTTTGCATGACATCACGAGCAAGTGATATAAAGCAGTCCTCGACCTTAAGCGAGTTCTTTGCTGATGTTTCCAAAAATGGGATGCCAA